TGTTTACTGTGCTTTTGATTTTAGTCATTCTAACAGGTATGAAGTGATATCTCATTGCAGTTTTGATTTGCATTACCCTCATGGTTTGTGACATTGAGCATACTTTCATGTATCTGTTGGCCATCTGTAGGTTTTCTTTAGAGCAGTCTGTTCATGTCTTCTGCCTTTTTTTTTTTTTAAACTGGATTATTTGTTTTGGGATTATATAAATTACATAACTTCTTTATATTTTTTGGATGCTTGTCCTTTATCAGATATATTATTTGCAAAAATCTTCTCGCATTCAGTAGGTTGCCTTTTAGTTTTGTTGATTCCTCCCTTAGCTACACAGAAGCTTTTTATTATGATGTAGTCCCAATAGTTTATTTTTACTTTTTGTATTCCTTGCCTCAGAAGACATGTCTAAAAAGGGTTGCTATGGTTAATGTCAGAAATTACTGCCTGTGCTTTCTTCTAGGGCTTTTATGGTTTCAGGTATCACATTTAGGTCTTTAATCCATTTTGAGTTTATTTTGTGAATGCGGTAATAAAATCGTCCAGTATGCTTCTTTTCCATGTAGCTGTCCAGTTTTCCAAACACCATTTGTCAAAGAGATGGTCTTTTTCCCATTGCATATTTGTGCCTCCTTCTTAGAATATTAATTGACCATATAACCATGTTTTATTTCTGTGCTCTTTATTCTGTTCCATTGTGTATGTGTCTATTTTTGTGTCAGCACCATGCTGTTTTCATTACTACAGTTATGTAGTTTATCTTGAAATCTGGGATTGTGATACCTCCAGTTTTGTTCTTCTTTTACAGGAGTGCTATGGCTATTCAGGATCCTTGGTGTTTCCATACAAATTTTAGGATTATTTGTTCTAGGTCTGTGAAAACTGCTGCTTGTGTTTTGAGAGGGGTTGCATTGGATATACATATTGCTTTGGATACTATAGACATTTTAATATTTGTTCTTCCATTCCATGAGCAAGGAATATCTTTCCATTTCTTTGTGTTACCTTTAATTTCTTTCATCAGCTTTAAGTTTTCAGAGGACAGGTCTTCTACCTCTTTGATTAGATTTATTCCTTTATTATTTTTGATGCAATTATAAATGGAATTGTTTTCTTAATTTATTTTTCTTCTGCTTCATTATTAGTATATAGGAATGCAACAGATTTCTGTATATTGATTTTGTATTCTGTGACTTTACTGAATTCATTTATACATTCTAGTAGTTTCTGGGTGGAGTCTTTAGGGTTTTCCACATATCATATCATGTCGTCTGCAAATATTGAAAGTTTTGCTTCTTCTTTACTGACTTGGATGCCTTTTATTACTTCTTGTCTGCCTCCTGTGGCTACGACTTCCAGTACTAGTTTGAATAAAAGTGGTGAGAGTGGCATCCTTGTCTTATTCCTGACCTTAGGGGAAGAGGTCTCAGTTTTTCCCCATTGAGAATGATGCTAGCTGTGTATTTTCATAAATGGACTTTATTACATTGAGATATGTTACCTACAAACCTACTTTGTTGAGGATTTTAATCATGAATTAATGTTGTACCTTGTCTAATGCTTTTTCTGCACCTATTGAAATTATCATATGGTTTTATCCTTTCTCTTACTGATGTGAGAGAAATATCACATTAATTGATTTGTGAATATTGAACTGCACTTGCAATCCAGGAATAAGTCGACTTGATCATGGTGAATGATTTTTTTAATGCATTGTTGGATTCAGTTTGCTAATATTTTAAGAATTTTTGGATGTATATTCATTAGAGATATTGGCCTATAGTTTTCTTTTTTGGCGCTGTCTTTATCTGTTTTTGAAGTCTGTATAATGTTGTCCTCATGGAATGAATTGGAGGTTTTCCTTTTCTATCTTTTTGGAATAGTTTGAGAAGAATAGGCATTAGCTCTTTCTTAAATGTTTGGTAGAAATCATCTATAAAGCCATCTGGCCCTAGACTTTTCTTTGTTGGGAGTTTTTAAATTACTGATTCAATTTCTTTGGTGGTAATCAGTTTCTTCATATTTTCTATTTCTTCCTGTTTCAGTTTCATTGGTTATGTTTTGAGGAATTTTTCTATTTCTTCTAGGCTGTCCAATTTGTTGGCATATAGTTTTTCACAGTATTCTTTTATAATTGTTTGTATTTCTGTGATGGTGGTTGTTATTTTTGTTATTTGTAATTTTATTTCAGTCATTTCTCTTTTTTACTTCATAAGTTTGTCTAGAGGCTATCTATTCCATTGATAATCTGGTTTTATTGATGTGTCTTTTTTAGTTTTGATATCATTTTTTTCTTCTCCAATCTTTATTATTTCCTTTCTGTGCTGATTTTAGGTTTTGTTGTTATTTTTCTAGCTCCTTTAGGTGTAAAGTTAGTTTGCTTATTTGAGATTTTTCTTGCTTCTTGATGTAGGCCTGAATTGGTATAAACTTCCCTCCTAGAACTGCTTTCTCTGCCTCCCAAAGGTTTTGGACCATTGCGTTTTCATTTTCACTATATTCCATGAACTTTTTTATTTCTTATTTTATTTCCTAAATGACCCATTCATTGTTTAGTAGCATGCTATTTAACCTCTATGCATTTATGATGTTTCCAGACTTTTTCTGGTGGTTGACTTCTACTTTCATAGTGTTGTGGTCAGAAAAGATGCATGGTATATGGTCTCAATATTTTTGAAATTGTTGAGGCTCGTTTTAAGGTCTAATATGTCATCTATTCGGCAGAATGTCCCATGTGCACTTGAAAAGAATGTATATTCTGCTGTTTTAGGATAGAATGTTCTGAATATAACTGTTAACTCCATCTGGTCCAGTGTGTCATTCAAAGCCGTTGTGTCCTTATTGTTTTTCTGTTTGGATGATCTGTCTCTTGATGTAAGTAAGGTGTTGAAGTCCCCTACTATTATTGTATTATTATTGATCAGTTCCTTTATGTTTGTTATTAACTCTTTTATGTATTTGGGTACTACCATGTTGGGTGCATAAATATTTGCTATAGTTATATCTTCTTGTTGGATTGTCCTTTATTATATATTATCCCTCTTTGTCTCTTGTTACAGTCTTTGTTTTAAGGTCTATTTTGTCCAATATAAGTATTGCTACTCTGGCTTTCTTTTGACATCCATTTACATGATAAATGCTTAACCATTCCCTCACTTTCAATCTGCAGGTGTCTTTAAATGTAAAATGAGTCTCTTGTAGGCAGCATATAGATGGGTCTTGTTTTTTATTCATTCTTTCACTATATGTCTTTTGATTATAATGTTTAGTGCATTTACATTCAAAGTAATTATAGATAGTTATTGCCATTTTATTACCTGTTTTATAGTTGTTTTTGTCAAGATTTTTGCTGCTCCTTTCTTGTCTTTCACTCTTTCATGTTTTTCTGGGTTTTTTTATTGATATATTTGGATTTCTTTCTCTTTATTGTTTGCATATTTATTAGTGTTTTTTGATTTGTGGCTACCATTAAGTTTGTATATACCATCTTCTGTATATGGCAGTCTATGTTAAGTTGTTGTTCATCAGTTTGAATCCATTATTTACTCCTCTCCTCCCCACATATTACATATATGTTGTCATATTTTACGTCCTTCTATTTTGTGAGTTACTTGATTTACACTTTCCCAAAATTACTCATTGTTACTGTTTTGCATTTTCTGCCTTCATACTGTCACTTTTGGTCTCTCCTTAGCACACAGATTGCCCTTTAGTATTTCTTGCAGAGCTAGTTTATTGGTCATGAACTCCTTTAGTTTTTCTTTGTCTGGGACACTCTTTATTTCTCCTTCTATTCTGAATGATAGTCTTGCTGGATAGATTATTCTTGGCTGCAGATTTTTTTCCCATTTAGCACTTTGAATATGTTATGCCCATCTTTTCTGGCTTGGAAAGTTTCTGCTAAAAAGTACCCTGATAACCTTAAGGGGTTTCCCTTTTATGTATCTGTCTTCTTTTGTGGTTTTGCTTTAAAAATTTTTCCTTTATTGTTATATTTTGCCATTTTAATTACTGTATGTCTAGGTGTGGCTCTGCTTTTGTTGATTTTGTTTGCAATTGTCTGGATATTTGTTTCCTTCTCTAGATTTGGGAAGTGCTGCAATTTTTTTCTTCAAGTAAATTTTCTTTCCTTTTTCTCTTTTTTTTCTTTTGGGACTCTTGTATTATATATGTTATCATGTTTGATGAAGTTACTGAGTTCTCTAAGTCTAATCCTTTTTTATAGTTCTTTTTTCTTTCTTTTGTTTAGCTTTATTTCTTTCCATCACTGTGTCTTTTAAATTTTTTTAAATGTTTGTTTATTTTTGAGAGAGAGAGAGAGAGCATGAGCAGGGAAGGGGCAGAGAGAGAGACACACACACACACACACACACACACACACACACACACAGAATTCAAGCAGGCTCCAGGCTCTGAGCTGTCAGCACAGAGTCTGATTAGGTCTCAAACTCAAGAACTGTGAGATCATGACCTGAACCAAAGTCAGACACTTAACCAACTGAGCTATCCAGGTGCCCCATCTTTTCATTACTCTGTCGTCCAGGTCATTAATTCATTCTGCTTCTTCCAGCCTACTGATCATTTCACTTAGTGTATTTCTTAGTTTGTTTATTGAGCCCTTTTCTATGCTATTTTATACCTCATCTTTGTGTTATTTGTCCCACTCATGTCTTTCACTCTTTTTTCAAGTCCAGCAAGTATCTTTATGATCATTACTTTAAATTCTCTGTTAGGAATTTTACTTATATTTGTTTCCTTTATATATCTGGCATTGTCCTTGTCCTATTCTTTTATCTGGGAAAAATTCCTTTGTCTTTAATTTTTTCCAAGTCTCTATGCCTGCTTCTGTGTGTTAGGAAAGTCAGCTATTTCTCCTGCTCATGAGGGTAATGGCCTTATGAAACAGAAGTCCTACAGTGTAGTGTCCCTCTTCCCTAGGGCCTGCTGCTGTTCTGCTATTGAGGTCCTGGCCATTTTTTCTTTCAGGTTACTTGTATGCTGAGATTCTCTTTGCCAGTTGTGGGCAGTGTTTGGTCCCTGGCCTGCATGTGGTGAGTTTTTAAAATTTTTAAAAAAATGTTTACTTATTTTTGAGAGAGAGAGAGAGAGAGAGAGAGAGCACAAGCAGGAGAGGGGCAGAGAAAGCTGGAGATACAGAATTCAAAGCAGGTTCCAGGCTCTGTACTGTCAGCACAGAGCCCAACATGGGGCTCAAATTCACGAACCATGAGATCATGACCTGAGCCAAAGCTGGACACTTAACCAACTGAGCCACCAGGTGCCCCATGAATGTGGTGAGTTTTAACTAGGTGTGCACTGGTCTGCTTGTGAAATGAGGCTTCTTGCCATTGGCGCTGCAACTTACTACTAAACTCTTGGATTGGAGATGTGGTGTGAGCAGGGATTTGGGCCAGTCTTCTGTGGGAGGGTGCGCACTGCACTGGGACTGAGGCAAGTGTGACTGGGAAGAGGGGACAGGGCTTGCTGTAAGCAAATTAGGTAATGAGTGTCAGTGCTGCACTGTTTCCCACAGATGGCCCTGTGTTTACACTGAGGGGCAGGGGAGGGGAAATGGCACCTGCCAGTTTCTATGTTCCTAGAGGTGTCTCTCCATGAATGCTGCCTCTCCAGGACATGCTCCAAGATGAGAAAATAACCTCCCACTTTTTACCTCAGATGCTTTTCATATTGTTGTTTCCACACTATATGTCTGTGGCATGTTTGCACTACCTTCTCTCTTAGAGTAGTCACAATGCCTTTGGACTCTTCCTGAGCCACACTCAGCAACCTTTAGAATTCCAGCCTTTAAGCCCCACTGGTTGCAAGAACTCATGAAATTCAGCCACTCTTGCTTTACAACCCAATTTCTACGGGGAATGTCTTCCCTGTGTGATCCCCTGTGTGCTAGTATGTTTCCTGCACGTCTCTGTGACCATGAGTCCTTTCCCACCACAGTGGCCATGATCGATTTCTCTCTCAAACCACATCTCTGCACTTCCTATCTTCTTCTATGTGGCCTCTTCTCTACCTTTAGTTGTGGAGTTTGTTCTGAAAGTCTTCACATAGACTTTGGGGGTATTTAGGATAATTTTGGTAGTTATCTAGTTGTATTCATAGGACAAGGGGAGGCTAGAGACCTTCTACTGCACCACCATCTTTTCTTTCTTCTGATATATACTTATTACACCATATATATTTATATACTACATATATACTTATTTAATTATGACACTCTTAAATTGTTACCAATTTATCAACATTTGCAAAATGAGTATACATATATGTTTATATATATATATATTTCTTTTATCATATCTGATTATATATTTATGAGAGAATCCTATAATTTATATAAAATTTACTTAGTAGAGTATAATATAAATTTCATGATTTCTACATCGGTTAAAAACATATTTCTGATTCTTATTGATAATTTCTTTTTTGAAAAATTGTACCAGTTTGTATCCCCACCTACAATGTATAGGTATCTTCTGTACTCTTGATTTTTCTCTCCTATATTTTAAACCTTGCCCATTATATTTTGATTTTGTTTAGTCTCATTTTTTCACTATTTTTCTAAATAAGCCTTTAGTTTTTAAGACCAATTGTAGACTTACAACAAAATTCAGAGGGACGTATAGTGATGTCCCATATACTTCCTGTCTCCATAGCTGCATAGACATTATTAACATCATTCACCATAATGGTACATTTTTTACCAGGAACCTGCACTGACTCAAGTCCATAGTTTACCCTAGGATTTATTCTAGGTTTGTATATTCTGTGGATTTGGACTATGTGTAAGGATATATATCCACCATTATATAATCATAGAGTATTTTCTCTGCTATATAACAAGCCTCTGTGCTCCACCTATTATTATTATTATTGTTGTTGTTGCTATTATTATTTATTTATTATCTCACTCATAACTTCAGGAAACCACTGATCTTTTTACTGTCTCCATGTTTCCCTAGTGTAAAAAGTTGTATAGCTAAAATACAGTATATAGAATTGTCATCTTGATTTCCTTCACTTAGTAATATAAATTGAAGTTTCCTTCATGTATTTTCATGACTTGATAGTTCATTTCTTTTTAGTTCTTATTAATATTCCATTGTCTGGATGTGTTATTTTCTTTATCCATTCACCTACTGGAGGACATTTTAATTGCTTCCCTGTTTTGGTATTGTCAGTGTTCTGAATTTTTGCCATTCTACTAAAATGTACAGTGGTATGTCATTGTTTTAATTTTTATTTCCCTAAAAACATATTATGTGGAAAAATTTGTGTATGCTTATTTGCCACCCAAAATTTTTTTTTGGTATCTGCTAAGGTCTTTGGCTCATTTTGTATTTGGGTTATTTGTTTTCTTATTATTGAGTTCTTTAAAAGGTCTTTGTATTTTTGGATAACAGTTTTCATCAAATGTGTCTCTGGAAATATTTTCTTCCACTATGTGGTTTGTCTGTTAATTATCTTGGTGTCATTATTCACAGAGCAGAAGTTTTTAATTATTCAAGTCCACATTATTAATTGTTTCTTCATGGGTTGTGTCTTTAGTATTATATCTAAAAAGGCATCACCATACCCAATATTATCTACACTTTCTCCTGTTATTTTCTAGGATTTTTATAGTTTGCCTTTTACATCTATATCTCGGATCTACTTACAGATAATTTTTATGAAGTGTCAAAGATGTATGTCTAGACTTATTTTGTTGCATGTGGATGTCCAGTTGTTCTAGCACCATTTGTAGAAGAGACTATTTTTATTGTTTCGTTTCTGCTTCTTGTCAAAGATCAGTTGACTATGCTTATCGAGGTCCATTTCTGGATTCCACTGATATGGTATTTCACCAATACCATAATAACTCTATTGCTGTAGTTTATACTGAACCTTGAAGTCAGGTGGTGTCAGTCTTCCAATTCCGTGCTTCCTCAATATTGTGTTGGCTATTCTGGGTCTTTTGCCTCTCATCATAAACTTCTAGATCAGTTTGCTTATAACCACAAACTGCTTGCTGTGATTTAATTGGGATTACATTAAATCTATAGATTAAGTTGGGAGGGACCGATATCTTGACAATATATGGTCTTCCAATCCATAAACATGGATTTTTCTCTCCATTTATTCAGTTCTTTGATTTCATTCACCAGAGTTTCGTAATTTTCTTTGCGTAGCTCTCTACATATGTTGGTAGATTTATGCCTAGGTACTTCAGGTTTTTCGATGCAATTGTAAATTGTATTTTGCTTTTATTTTCATATTTCACTTATTAATTGCTGGTAAATAGGAAAGCAGTTAACTCCTGTATATTAACCTTGTTTCCTGAAACCTTGCTATAATGTCTCCTCAGTTTTAGCTGTTTTTTTCTTTTAGATTTTTCTGTAGATGTTCATGTCTTCTGTGAACAAAAACAGCTTTATGTCTTTTTTCCCACTTTGTATTCCTTTTAATTCCTTTTCTAATTCCTTTTAATGTCTTATTGCACTAACAAGGACTTACAGTATGATGTTGAAAAGGAGTGGTGAGAGGGGATGTTCTTGTTTTGTTCCTGATCTTACTGGGAAATCTTCAAGTTTCTCACCATTAAATATAATGTTAGCTGTAGGGTTTTGTAGATATGCTTTATCAATTCAAGGAGGTTCCCCTCTATTTTGAGTATCCTGAGAGCTTTTGTCATGAAAGCTCTGTGATGGATATTGTCAAATGACTTTCCTGCATCCAATGATAGAGTCATGTAAGTTTTCTTTTTTAGTCTGTTAATATTATGAGTTACATTAATTGCTTTCTCATGTGAAACCAGTCTTGCATATCTGAGATAAGTCCCACTTGGCCATGGTGCATAATTGTTTTTATACTTGCTGAGATTTGATTTGCTAATATTTTATTGAGATTTTTTTCTATAATCGTGAGATATTGGTATATAGTTTTCTTATCTTTATCTAGTTTTCATAGAAGGTAATGCTGGCCTCAAAAATTGGGTTAGGAAGCATTCCCTCAGTTTCTATCTTCAAAAAAGATTATGTAGAGAATTGGTACAATTCTTCCTTAAATATTTGGTAGAATTAGTGAACCCATCAGTGGATGGTACTTTCTCTTTTAAAAGGGTTTTAATTATTGATTAAATTCTTTAACATATATAGGACTATTAAGATCATCTATTCTTTTCTGAGTTTTGGCAGTTTTGGTTTTTTTAAGAAATTGGTCTGTTTTACTTAGGGTATCAAATCTGTGGGCATAGAGTTGTTCATAGTATTCCTTTTCTGTTCTTTTAATTTCCATGGATTTTTCAGTTGTTTTCTCTTTCATTTTGGATATTGCTAATTTGTGTTTTCTCTTTTTTCTTTCTTATTTAACCTGGATAGAGGCTTACTGATTTTATTGATCTTTTCAAAGAACTAGCTCTTGGTTTTGTTGATTTCTCTCTCTTGATTTCCTGTTTTCAATTTCATTGATTTCTATTTTAATTCTTATTGTTTCTTTGCCTTTCATTTTCTAGTTTCCTAAGCTGTAAAAGTAAAATATTGATTTTAGAAGTTCACTTCTAATATTTGCATTCAATCCTATACATTTTCCTCTAAGTCCTGTATTCACTACATTCCACACATTTTGATAAGTTGTTTTCATTTTCATTTAGTTAAAAACATTTTAACATTTAACTTGGGATTTCTTCTTCAATTCATTTGTTTTTAGAATTATACCGTTTAATCCTTATGTGTTTGGAGATTTTCCATTTAACATTCTGCTATTGATTTCTAGTAATTCCATTGTGGTCTGAGAACAGACATTATAGGATTTATATTATTTTAAATCTGTTAAGGAATATTTCAGTCTGTGGTCTATTTTGAATATTTCATGAGAGCTTCAAAAGAATGTGTATTCTGCTTTTCTGGGATAATATAGTCTATAGATGTCAATTCAATCCAGTTAATTGATGGTGATGTTGAGTCCAATTATGTGCTTACTGGTTTTCTGCCTGCTGGATCTATCCATTTCTGATAGAGAGGTGTTGAAGTCTCCATCTATGATTGTTCATTCATCTATT